AATTTTTCTGGAGAATTTTTGGTGCATTCTGAACGCCAGCAGGTTCAATAAAATTTCATGAAGAACTTCTGGAGAGGCAAAAACATGATCTGTGTTCTTCTGATGGCTTTACAAGTTGTGAAAAAAAGGCACATCTCACAGTCCCATATCCGTCCTCCAGCTGAAAGCAGGCAGCCACCTCACAGCCACGGTCCTTAGAAAGGCAGGAGGACCTCGACCCTCCAAAGTCCCCAGGAGGTGGGTGGGTGGGGTACTCTCAGGGACAGAACTCGGTGAAGGACACTCCATGCTCCTTATGGAAGTTCCTGGCCAGGGCACAGGTGGGGCATCTGTTTCAACTCAAGCAGCACTGAACTTGGCCCAGATATGTAGCGCCTGGCCTGGACAGGCAGCGTAGCCTAGTGGATGACAATAGCACCTCTCACTCTAAGACTATGCTCCAGTCCTTGGCATGGGCTCTCCCTCCATCACCACACTCAGTCCTCACAACAACCTTTAAGCAGGCACTACTGTGCCCTGCATGTGGGGGAGGACACAGAAGCATTCACCTCTTCCCCACAGTGGACAGGAACAGTTTCTCTATTAGAGAGTTAAGTGAATTTTCAAGATTCTAGCCACTGGTTGCTCTCATTTTGCAAAAAAGGCAGTCAGCTGAGCCCTCCAACACCCTCATCTACTTAACCTGCCACGTGCAGAGGGGCAGACTTGGGAGTGGGAGGAGGTGACAGTAGTGTGGTGTTGGAGAACAAAGACCAGACTGGACTCAGGAGGCCTGACCTCCAGGTCTCCCGTCACCACCTCCTTTGTCTCCACAAGAGAAATTTCTCCCACAACATCAAGAAGACAACAATCATATCCAGCCCCTGAATCAGGGCTGTCACGTAGACCCAAAGTGACAATACAAGCAGAAGTGTTTCATAAAGGGCAAAGGCATATGAGACCTTGACTCCTACGCAACAACTCACCTCATCACACCCCATTTCATAATTCCGAGACCCACCCAGGAGGAAAAAAAAAATCAACAAACTCTGGGCTTTAGGAAACGAAACGTGCTTACTGGGCACTCCTGATACTAGTCGAAGTGGTCTTAACACTCGAAAGGCGCGGAGGGCTTTGACGTCAAAGCCTCCCGATTTGCCACTGGAGTGGTTACCGCCTTCTGTTTCTTTGGTTAATTGTTCCAAAATTACACTAAACAATCTGAAAGAAAAAGAGAGGAGGAAATGTTAGAGTCTGTCACCCAGGGAAGCAAAACAGGATGGTGATAGCAGTTATTTTTGAACAAGGGCTAATTCTGTATTGGCTGCTGCTTAAATAAAGGGAAGGTAATGCAGAGGCAAGAATCAGGCTGTGACCCCTGGCCGTGGCCCCTACATCTAAAAGGACTGGGGTTGGGGATTGATCTCACCCAGTTTCCGGCCAATGGAGCATCCTAGTCAGCCCCCTGGAGGCTGGATGCTAGAGGGGTATCTGATGATGACAGGTATCTGATGATGACAGGTATCCGATGATGACAACGGAATTGCCCAAATAGCAATAACAATGACAATAATTGTAGCAGCTACCATTCAGGAGTAGTCAGTATATCCTAAGCACTTAACATGCATTACCTCATGAATCCTCAAAAACGTTATGCAATGGGAATCATGAACTCCATTTTACATATGAAGAAACAAACTGGATGAGAACAAGTAACTTGCTAGAAGCCACAAAATGAGTGGCAGATCTAACATGAATCCAGGTATGCTGGCCCCATCGGAATGTACGTTCCATAAGGACAGTGAATTGTAGTCTGTTTCTTCACGTTTTCACTTAGTCTATTCTAGCTTAGTGCGTACAACAGTTCCTTACACACAGGAAGCATTCAAAAAATATCTCCTGAATTAATCCATGAATGAAGATTGACTTCAAAGTTCCCAATCTTAATCAATATATCACACCACTTCCAATACAGTCACTGGCACATGCACCCCTCCACCTCCAGAGGGATGTTCAGGTAATGATGTAAATCCAGATGCTAAGAAGCTGTGCAAAGGCCAACAGCAGTAACCAAAAGGAAGGTATTAATGTCATCATTTTCTCTCTTGAAATATGAATAATATTGTATCTGGCAGCCATAACAAATTTTTTCCTACTCTCAGAAGGTTTTCTGAGTAAAGCTATTTCCAGGCAATCCACTCATCTGACAGTTACTTTTGCTCTTTCAAATAAGCATTTGTTCTTTGGAATTGTTGCTTGTTTTTCAGAATAAACAGAAATTTGTCCGTTTCAAATAGAATCAACTCTGGCCTATCAGATTGTGGGGATGATTGGCCCAGCAACAAAGCAAAGGTTTCTAATGTTTAATTCGCAGCCAAAGCAGAAGCTCTGCGCCCACTGGCTTGCCTCAGGATCACCAAGACATTGAGTCCATAAAACGTAGGGTAGTCTGATTACAGTCCTGATTGGGCATAGTCATGTCATTCCGGGGCATTTAAAGATCAGTCCTTTGTTTTAATAACAGTACAGCAATTAGCAAGGAACCTAGGCTGTGGGTGGAGGAGCAGGGAGGGAATCAGTCAGGTCTTTACCTTTTCAAAGGTACAGAGGGTGGACTCTCCCTGGTTATGACTGGGAAAATGTATCAAATTTATGACAGGTCTCTCATTAGCATAGTTTTTTAATTACTGTAACTCCCTGCAGCAAGGCTAAAGTTAAAAGTCTCCCCTCCAAAACAAGTTCACAGTGTCACAAAAACAAAGGAAAAGGAAGAAAGAAAACCTCAAACTCTTCTGAAATGCAGCAGCCACAGGAATTTTCATCCCAAAGGGATAGGAAAGTACTTTATGCTGGTGGTGACTTAAGATTGCTTTCAAGTATTGGTGTTTTGCAGTGTACACTTTATGGTCCTTTTATCTCCTGTTCTTCAGCAATGCCCTTGAAAACAGGTGAACAATGGCTCTCTCCCATCAGAGGAGCCTGAGTCCGAGAGAGAAGCTGGCTGTTGTATGCAGACAGCCAGAGGGTGTAAGGGGTCAGGGCTGGCTGGCTTCTCTTTCTAAGAGTTAGAACATTAGGGAAGTCCCTCTTCTTCTCTGGGTTTAGTTTCCTTCTCTGTAAACTGAGAAAACTGGATTAATGATCCAGAGCCTTGAACTTCCCATTCTAATGCTCTGTGATTCTACCCTTTCACAACTCCCCCACCACAACCAAAATAAGGACCATGTGCCCGAAGAGATGAGGACAAGAGGAGAAAGTATCTGATCCTAGGTTGTTATAAAAAGTTTACCGCAAGACAGGAGAAAAAGGCGACGAGCTACCCAAACCAATACAAATCAGAAGCAGCAGAGTGAACCTCCCATTCTCCCAAAAGCTTAGTGATGAGCATGAATGCTTAACAAATATGTTGATTTTAAAAATTTGAAGAGTGGGATAAAAATTGGCTTAGATCAAACTTTTCTATGCAGAGAATAGTATCAGCTCTGGTAGACACACTGAACATTATTAACAGTTAACGGGTTTTAGAAATATCAGTTACTTTCTTAACGTTTCTGTTCCTGGGAACCTTGACAAAAGCAATAGGTCACAGTTGACTTGGAATGGAAACTCCATTGGATTAGGATAGAGTCTGCAGTTGGAAACTTAAGTAGAAATTTGAGTCAAGGGAAGACATAATAATTTGATTTTTCTTTTTCTGTTTAAACTTTCCTTCTGAGTTCTTTGACTACAATTTAGTACATATTTTAGATAAAGAGTAATCTGATGTTCTGAAGTTTTTCATATTTAATGAGAAAAAAACCGAGTCCAGTTCTACTTAAAGTTTCCTAGATGATTTTTTTATTTTTAAACCAACTTTATTACAGTTTAATTGATATATAATAAAATACACCCATTTAAGGTGTACAATGAATTCTGACAAATGCATAAGCCCAAGTAACAAAACACCATAACCAAGACAGAGAGCCTTTGCAATATCTCAAACAGCTCTCTCTTGCCTCTTTGCCTACCTCCAAAATCAGCTTTAGGTCCAGTGATTGGCTATTTATCAGTCTGGGGTGTTTTTCCCTTTCCTAGAATCTTACATAAATGGAATCACACAGCATGCTCTCCTTTTCGTTCATCTGCTTCTGCTTTCCACATTTCTGAGATTTATTCAAGCTGTTACATTTATCAGCAGTTTATTTCTTCTTATTGTTGAGCGATAATCCTTTGTGTGATATACCACAATGGGCTTATCCATTCACCTGCTGAGAGTTATTTGGACTGTTCCTTGTTTTTCTCTATTATGAATCAAGTCTCTTTGTGAGCATGTACTTTGATTTATTTTGGGTAAGTACCCAAAAGCCGTACTGGTAATATGGTCATATGGTTAGTGTATGGTTAACATTGTAAGAAACTAGCAATCTTTTCCAAAGAGATACACCATTTTCCATTTCTATAAGCAGTGTGCTCCAGTTGCTCCATATGGCGGTTAACTTCTGTTAACTGTCAGTCCTTTTACTAATACTAGTGGATATGTAGTGCCGTGTCACTGTTGTTTTAGTTGGCACTTCTCTGATTACTAATGATGCTGAACGTCTTTTCAGGTGCTTGTTGACCACCTACATATCTTCTTTTGTGAAGATCTGTTCAAATCTTTTGCCCATCTATGTATTGGGTTGAATTCTGACCTTTGAGTGGTTAGAGTTCTTTATATATATATTCTGAATACAAGTTCTTGGTCATATATATACTGGGAATATTTTTTTCCCATTTTCTGCCCTATCTTTTCATCTTTTTCATAGTATCCCTTTTGACGAAAAGTTTTAAATTTTAATAAGGTTCAAAATTTCAATTTTTTTTTATGGCTAGTGCTTTTTGGGTCCCAAGAAATCTCTGCCTACCCTAAAGTCATAAATATTTTCTCCTAGAAATTTTATAGTTTTAGCTTTTACATTTAAGTCTATGATCCATTTCAAGGCAATAATTGTATATGGTGTGAGGTCAGAATGGAAAGTTTCTTCATATGGATAAACAACTGTTTCCTCAACCCATTGACTCATCACGGCACCTTTGTCTAAAATCAATTGATCACATCCATATGGGTCTATTTCTAGACTATTCCATTGACCTTTATGTCTATTTCTTACTCTATTAGCACACTATCTTGACTACTGTAGCTTTATAGGAAGTCTTAAATCAGGTTCCAGTTTTTTTCTTTAAGATTTCTTTGGTTATCCTAGAGCCTCTCTAATTTCCATATAAGTTCTAGAATAAATTTGTCATTCTCTACAACAACCTTGCCAGAATTTAGAGTAGGATTCAGCCTATACTGCAATTTCAGAAGAACTGATATCCTAACAATATTGAGTCTTCCAGTCCATGAATATGGTACATCATTTCATTCATTTATATCTTCTTTAATTTCTCTCAGCAGGTTTAGTCATTTTCAGTGTGCTATTTATCCCTAAATTGTTCATGTTTTTTGATGTTATAGTAAATAACATTATCTTTAAATTTCATTTTCCCGTTGTTCATGACTAGGATACAGAAATTCACACGCTTTTTTACACTGACTTTATTTTTTAAAAATTGCTAAATTCATTCAAAACACATAATTTTATGATTTTTATCTTCTTAAATTCACTGAGACTTGTTTTATGGCCCAGAATATGTCTTTTGGTGAATGTTCAATATGCATGTGAAAACAATGTCTACTCTGCTCTTGTTGGGTATGGTGTTCAAAAAGTCAATTAAGTCAAGTTGGTAGATAGTACTGTTCAACTCTCCCCATATCCTTAATGATTTTCTGTCTAGATGGTCTAGCAACACTCCTCAAAAGAGGAGTATTAAAATATACAGCTACAACTGAAGATTTGTCTATCCCCCCTTTCAGTTCTATCAGTGTGTGCTTCGTGTATTTGTTTCCTATTTGCCCTGTCCATTGTCATTTTTTTCTTCCATTTTTTTAAAATTAATTGAGCTTTTTAAAAATTCCATTTCATCTCCAATACAGACTCATTAACTATACCTCTTTATTTTTCCAGTGACTTCTCTAGGGCAAGTGTCAGCAGAAGTTTTCTGTAGAGTGCCAGATAGCAACTATTTTAGGATTTGCAGCTCATAGGGTCTTTGTCACAACTACTCATCTTTGCCATCCTAACACCAAATAGCCATAAAACGTGTGAGTGTGACTGTCTTCCAATAAAACTTAATCTCCTAAAGCAGACAGCAAAATACTTTGTCAATGTGGTGTCAGTGAGTGGGGGAGGCAGTAAACCATTTTTGGTCTATGGACTGAAGTTTGCTGGCCTGTGCTCTAGGGCTTACAACTTTAACTTACCAGTCTTCCTTCAGATAATAACTCCACCAAATACACAAGCAGTTTTCTATAGTATATACCTATTTCCCTGTTTCTGTCCTTTGTGCTAATGTTGTCATATATTTTACTTTTAGAGATGCTATAAACCCCACAATACACTGTTATTATTTTTGCTTTAAGTAAAGAATTACTTTCAAAAATACTTTAAAATGAGAAAAATGCTTTTATATTTACATATGAATTTATGCTTTCTGGTATTCTTCATTTCTTTTGTATAGATTCTTATTTCTATCTGTTGTTATTTCCCTTCAATGTGAAGAAATTCCTTTGTTAAGGTGCAGGTCTAGTAATGGTGATTCCTCAGCTGTGGTTTATCTGAAAATTTTCTTTTTTACTTCAGTTTTTAAAGATATCTTCATCAAATAAGAATTATAGACTGACACTTCCCCCTAGCACTTTAAAGACATCTCTCTATTGTCTTCTGGCTTGCACAGCTGCTGACAAAAGTCTACAATGTCTTTTTCTCCACTTTTAAGACTTTCCCTTTATCTCTGGCTTTGAGCAATTTGATTATGAACATGATGTGCCTTGATGTAGCTTTCTTCATGTTTATTTTGCTTGGGCTTTTTTGAGCTTCTTGGACTTATGTTTGTATTTTTCATCACATTTAGAAAATTTGGACTCATTTCTTCAAAAATTTTTTGTCTCCCCTCCATCTCCCGTCTTTTCTGGGACTCCAAACATATGTATGTTAGATTACTTGATATTGTCCCACAGGTAACTAAGATGGTGTTCGTTCAGTCTCCATCATTATTCTTTGAGTTACTACTATGTCTTCAAATTCTTTGATTATTTTCTTCTACTGTATTTAATCTGCTGTTAAGCCAATCCAGGAATTTTTCATTTCAGATATACTTTCCAGATCTTGAAGTCCTATTTGTCTTTTTTACATTGCCCCATCTTTTCTCACTGTGGTCATGTATTATTTTAAATCCATAAACATATTTATAATAGCTGTTTTAAAAGTCTTCTAAAGTAATACTCTACTAATTTCATCATCTCTGTCATTTCTAGGTCTTTTTCTACTGATGGAATTTCATGCTGGTCATGGGTCATATTTCTTCATATGCCTAGTAATATCTGACCGGATGCTGAACACTTTAAGTATCTGGATTTTGTTGTCTTCCTTTAAAAAGAGTTTTGTTCTGTTAAGCACTTAAGTTCCTTGCACGTCAGCTTGCTCCTTTTCAGGCTTCTTTTCAAACATTAGCAGCAAGGGCTTCAGTTGTTTTTCACTCTAGAGCAGGAGTTGGCAAAACTGTTTTGTAAGGGGCCAGACAGTAAATATTTTAGGCTTTGTGGACCTAAAATATTCAACTATGTAAACAAATGCACATGGCTGTGTGACAATAATATTTACAAAACTGGTATCAGGCTGAATTTGGCCCATTGATCATAGTTTGCCAACCTCTGCTCTAAAGTTAGTTTAGCCCTGCTACTAATGGCCCTTCTGGGATCTCTACTGACAGTCCAGGGTATTCAATGAGGGCTTTCCAGTCTGGTTGGTCTCAACTTAAACAACTCCTAGACCTATGTGATCTCTAGCTATTACTCAGCTGTAGTCCCCCCTCCAACCCCCAGCTTTCCTTCCCCCCACAATAGTATTCTTTGCCTGGCATTACCCCATGTAAGTGTAGCTAAGTCTTTGGCCAAAACTCAAGAGGACCCCAGGGCATATTTATGGAGCTGTTTCTCTGAATAGCTCCCTCCCCACTCTCATATATGCCTCTTAAATTTTAGCCACCTCAGCCTTCCTGAACTCTATCTCTTCAACTCAATGAGAACATCACACTCTGCTGAGTTCCCTGTCTTTGGGCTGTGTGACAGTCTGAAAAATGCCTCCAGCCAGAAAGCTGAGGTGATTGTAGGGTAGGAACACAAGAAATGGAGCTAAGCATCTCCATCTTCTAGCTAAACAGAAAGTCCAGTCAGAAGATGCCCAGCAAGATTATTCCAGAACCAACAGACCTGCAAGGCTCCTGTCTGCCATTCCTTCTTAGAGTTCACCAAATATAGGAAGGCATGGCACATATATAACTACCACCTGTTGCTTTTAGCACTATCTTTGCAGCAATGCCTTAGACTCCAATTTACTATGGTGTTTTTTGCAAAAGTTAACATTAACATTTTCTCCAGAAGTCTAATCATCCTGCTGGGCCACCACTTTCGATCCCACTTTAACTTCTTAAATTTGAAAAGACAAGCTCAAAATTTATCCCACTCTCTCAATAGCCATCAGTATTAGTCTCTCGTGAAAAGTCAAAGGATTCATGATAAAGAATAATCCAAAAGAATAATCACCTTGCTCCACTGCAAAAGGCATTTGAGTGAAGTCATGGAGATGAAAACACACAAAGGCCATTTAACAATCTCTCTCTATAGGAGCAAATATAATTTTTGGAGCAACCCGTTTTATAGCTGGGTAACTAAGACTCAGCAAAGGGCTAGATCTTATTTTCCTATGCGAGTATTTGGTCCAAACACACAGTATTTCTCTGACAATGATTCATTTTTCTCCTGCTGGCAACACATCCAGGTGTTGAAGGACCAGAATAACACAGGCCACTGTTTTTTATTTTAATATTTTCCTTTAACTGAAACTGTTGGTGTCTTCTTCCCGTGACAGGATTCCGGGAACACGCCTGCTTCTCTGCATTTTCTGGCTTATTTCATTTCATGCCGGATATCTGACATTTTTCAAACACTTGTTTTGTTATTTAAAATGGGATACTGGCGTCCCAAAGCTTTTCCCCCAAGTCAGCAGAAAAAATTAATGGCTTTGTTCAAGGGATGTTAAATGGCAGAGTACCTCACTCCTATGAAGGATTTATTACTTTTTCACTGTTTTTTTTTAACTTAACAAGGTGCTAAGTAGAAGAACTCTACCCATTTGACTCAAATCACCAGCGGGGCTGGCCTATATGTGGAGACCCAGGGTCTGGTAAGATGAACCCTCTCACATCACGAGCTGAGCTTAAACTTTCTTCCAGAACACATTACTGAAAGAGGGAGTAACAATGAGAGAATTTCAAGTCAGTCTCTGCCCAGAGACTGACAACAGCATCACCAGGCTTCAAAGAACTCATGACAGGTTCTGGCTGCAATCACTCATAAAGGAGCAACCCTATTTCCTTAGACGACTGTTTTCTGTTACTCCCACCTCCCATTTTCCAAACAAACATTTCCCCAAATGAAAGGGACTTACCCTACTATTACTATAACAAAATCCAGTAAATTCCATCCATTCCTAACATAAGCATTAGGATGTAGCAATAATCCATACGCTATAATCTTCAAAAATGTCTCGACTGTAAAAATAATCAGGAAGGCATATTCTACTTTTTCCTGCAAAGAGAAACAAAGAAATAAAACAAAAAATGGGGGGACGGGTAGGGAAGAGGAAGAAAAAGAAATAGGGATTAGAATCAGTATCTCAGAGCATTTTTCTCCAAACAAAGCTTCATTAAGAGAAATGGAACTATAAAAACTGTATCTGGACCAGGAAAGCATTTTAATTCTAACACTGAATTTCCCATATGCAACTGAGTGTAAAATGCTTTTCATCCCAGGCTGCATGGCTGCATTTTGCCACCTGCCCTGACGTGTGTGCAGTGACTCTGCCTAGGACATAATGGCATGCTTGTTATTTGCGTACATTTGCCAAATGCAGCATGTTCTCCTCCTAAGATTGCCAAATCAGGCCCAGAAAAGCACAAGGGTACAACAGAGATTCCCACAGGGCTTTGAATTGAACGTCCTTTGGAAGAAAGGAAGATGCATCCGCTTGACCCTGTATTCTTCTTGGGCTTCCGTCTGACTTCTAACACAGGGTTGGCTGTGTCACTGAACAACAAGGTGACCTCAGCAAGTCCCTCTTCCCTTCTGGACCTAAGTTTCCTCACCAGCGCAGTCAGGGAAGGGAATCTGGATGGCAAACCCATGGCCTCCTCACTGGCTTGCCGCCTCTCCTGGCTGATAGGGAAGCTGGGTCACCACACATGTTCCCAGGGAGTCTGGACTCAGCCTCTGAACCCACTTCTCACAGACCCAGCAGCTATCCCCGTCGGACTGCCAAAGACCTTCCAGATGCCACCCTTGGGCTGGAGGTCTCTTCGAACCTTTCCAGTTCCAGCTCATGGCATTCCATGAGCTGTAGAAAATGCATCTGTCAACAAGTCTAAAAATGTTGGCTCTTGTCTCTTTTATAAAGGTTTCTTCATACAACTTTGGTTTCAAAAGAAATATGGACTAACTAGGATGTGTGTGATTAATTTTACAAGAGGCATTGGCTAGCAAAAAAGCTATGTAAATAATAAGTAAATGAAAAATCATCGGTAATTAAAACTCTTGCATATGGGCCATAAAGTCCTCTAATATAAACTTTCCTCTGTAGGACACAGGGAAAGTCACCAATGCCTTAGGAAAATGGAATTCACAGAATTCACTTATCAAGATGCCTAGTGCAAGGGGGCAAATCAACTTGTTTCTGGAAATACTTAGCATCTCTTCTGGTATGGAGCACATCACGCAGAAGCCAGGATTAGAAAAATGTCTCCATTATGGTCCCCATCCTCGAAAAGTTTAGTCTGGTGGGGGAGGTGGGGGTTTCTAATGTGCGCTCAGAGAACCTTCTAGGAGACGTAACTGACAAAGAGCAGTTCTGCATCTTGAGCCCTCTGACAGGGCCAAAGGGTTAAACCACTTCTCCCCTGCAAGGACTTGCTTTGTTATATGTGACCACTATTTCACCTAAGCCATGCTGGGCTACCCCTCTGTCGCAGGCGAGACCCAGTCCCAGGTGTGACTTCCCCCTGTCTTGCAACAGCATTCTTTCTCTTTACCAGTAGGGGAATCATCCAAACTCAGCTGTACCCCAGCCTTTATCTTCAACCTTGATTCCCCAGTGGTCATGCTGAAAAGCCAGTTCCATCAGTTCTTTACCCCCAAGTCCCCAGGTCGTTCCTAACCTGCCCTTGGAGCATCACTTGATGCTCTGAACACCATCCTAGCAGTCTAATAAATTCCTTTGTGGTGTAAGTTAGCCAGAGTCAATGTGTTTTCAATTTTAAAAGCCTAGCTCATCCCCAGCCTCCACATCCATGCTTCCTCCAGATCTCCCCACAGGTCCTGTTTTCAGCCTGGCTCATCCCATGCACCCTACACCCTTCAGCAGGGTGTGAAGACCTTCTTGGACCACTTGACCCACTCCCTCCACACAGCCAGGCCAGTATGAGTGGCTGAAATCTCCCACAGCAGCAGCACAGATGCCCCCTCATGCCCCCCACACACATCCCAGGACTCCTCTGTTTACTCTGGAGTCCTTGTGAGCCTCATGAGAGCAAGGGCTCATCTTCCCACTCACTGCCACAGCCCTGAGCGGCAGGCTTCCACCAGAGGTGCACTCACACCACTGTGGATGCTCTCAGCAACAACAACTGACTTTGCTACCGGCTACAGAGGAGAGATCCAGGAAGACTTGAATGAAGCAGCGACACTAACGCTGAATGCTAACTTTGAGATTTTTTCAGAAGCAAAAATCCCTGAAAATACCAACCTGCTACACCCAAATTAGACCCTGACCACTACAGGTAGGTTGTCAGTATGTTTTCAAGAGTTAAGAGTTCTCAGGGAACAAGATAAGCTGGAAACAGCACACTGATTTTACAATTCCTCTTCCCTTTTTATCCTTTGTGGTTTATTTACTGGGCCAGGCAGGAGAAAGAAAAAAAAAAAAGCTTTTGCTGCCATCAATATTCATAGCAGTTACATCCCTACATCAACACAGCACTATACTTTAGAGCAGAAAAACAAGACAGGGAACAGAGAGTACACCTACCAAACCCAGCTTGTTTGCCCTCTTTAGCTTATATTTCTAAGCAATTTTGTCACAGTAATACAAAAGCCATTTGTGTAACTAAGTTGTTTAGGGTTCTTTTATCCCCTTCTCTCATTCTCCTCTCTTTCCCTTTTGAAGACTTTGGTTTCTCTTTCCAAAATCCTCAATCCATTACTTGATGGAACTGATTATAAGAAATATAACCTTGTTTTAATGTGATTCTTTATTACGGAGTCTTGATCATAATGCCAACATAGCCTGGAGAGCATGTCAGATCCATCTGCCTAGAAGCCAGTGTCATCCTGGTTCCCAACCCTGTCGTTTAAAAGGACTCCTGTAAAACAAATACACCTCCACATTAAGCCAATGCAGTGTTCAAAAAAACCTTGCAAAACAACAGTCATGGGAAGCAGAGGTAATTACTTCACAACAGGATTGTTCATTTGAGAAAAGAATGTTGAGTCAGTCATTTGAAATGGAAGCCGCCAAGAAAGTCAGGCTCCTCACGGGGCGAGGTGGGAATATGTAAGTGGCTGAAGGATGGATGAGACGTTGCACAGGGAAGGCACGGAGTCAGTGGCTGGGATGCAGGGGAGCACGCAGAAGAAACAAGGGTAAGGATGAAGGAATGAGCAGGCTGGTGAAAGGCGCCCTCGCAGTAGAGGCTGCACCTTACAAGTCTGCCCCCAGGCTAAACAAAAAGAATAAATGATTCCTGCACCCCAGCCTCCCTGCACTTGCCAGGTACAGCCATGTGCCGCGGCACTCACCCAGCCACCAGCGGGGGTTCTCCTCACCGACAGGGAGGCCTGCATGGGCAGGGCTAGGCAAATCATCTTTTAAGAAATCACAAATTCTTAACCAGAGACCACCCTACCCATGGATTAAAGTCCCCTCTGAGACTCAAGCCACCAGAGAAATAAAAGCTCCAAATCTAACTCTGAAACCTCATTTATCTTCTTTAAACAGTGAAATTTCACCGAACAGGAGAAACTCTTAACCAGCAGTCTCTAAACCAGTTAACCCTATACAGAACCTGTTGTCAGCAACTGTCAACTAGCAGGGAGTAGGAGACACCAGGATCCTTAACTGTACTTGGTCGTCAGCTGTCCTTTTTTCAAGGAGCCTCGACTAGTGCTGTGGTATGAACATCCAGCCATCCATCATCCACCCATTCATCCCTGAGAACCTGGGTCCTACTCAGAAAGCCTGATCCCTACCTAACCTGTTGTCAAAAGATCAACAGAGGCTGATGAGTCTGGTAAGATTTATCTCTTTGCTTCACTCATCCACCCACAGGCCCCAAGTCTTTGCAGTGGTCTCCTGGCTTACACCCCGGCAGGAGAAGATAGTCTCCCCTCCACACACATATCCCTTCTGTGTCCTGCAGGCTGGGTGGGGCTCCCCATTGGCAGGGATTATCTCTTACTGTCTCTGTAACCCCAGCATCTAGACCATACTGGGCACACATAAAGTGCTCACGGGTCCTGACAGGAGGTAGAGAAGGAAAAAAGCGAAGGAATTAAGCAGCAAAGCCAGACCTAATGAGGGGTATAAAAACATGAGAATTTGGGATTCTAGCCTATGTACCCAAAAGCAAACTAATCAGAGTAGGAATCTTTCTAAGTTACCATAAACCCTTCCTAGAACAAGCCTGGAATAAATGTTCAGACTGTTGAGACGACAGCTGATCCTAGTGTGTCACAGGCCCTTCCCTTTCGATCCCAACCAAACGTCCTCATCCTTCCATCCATCTGTGCCTTCCAACTTGCTCACTCCTCTTCTGTAGGAGCCTCCACTTCAAGTCAGGGGCTGATCTGCTCCCTCCCACTGTTTTCCCAAGTCACCTCCCCTCCCCCATGTCTCTGCCCACCTTGCCTCACCCTCCTGGTGTGCCCACCCCAACACATGTACATCAGCTCCCCTCTTCTGTAAGCACACAAGTCTGACACGGGGCTACCACGAGCCCTGCACGGGGTGTGGAGAGAATGCAGGGCCTGGAGCTCTACCTGTTCTCCGCTAGCCCCAGTTCAGCTGCTGACTGGCTCAGGCTACACCCTGTCCCCTCTGTAAAATGCCCCCCACCCCAATCCTGCCTTTCCACCAGGCTAAGTTCTACTTGTCCTTCAAGGCTCAGCTTAAATGACACTTGCTCAGAGAGACCTTTGCTGACTTCCCAGACAAAATTCGGGCCCGCTGGTATATGCTGCCAAAGCTCACGGCATTCCTGCACAGCCCTACTCACAATGGAAAATCTAAATTGAAAAAAACTCTCTTTGATATTTGTCTCTCCCAATAAATGATTATTTCTTATAAAATCGGAGACCATTTCTATTTCATGCATTACTGAATTCTCAAGCCTGTCACAAAAATATTCGATATTTACAAATGAATAAATAAATGGACAAAATGAGAGGTTTTGACCAAACATTATTCAATGGCCTTTCCCGCTTAGAACTTTCATAACTGTCTTAGCTCAGGCTGCCTTAACAAAATACCATAGACTGGG